GTGCAACCTCTGTGGTCACCGGAGTCAAGACCGATACGAGTTCTCTTCTCACATAACTCGAGGGGAGCATCGCTACTGAGCCCCAGAGAATGCACACACTTTCACACAGACAAACAGTTGTACATATGAAAAACATGCCACACTCACTCATTGACATCCCCCTGAAATAAATGCATAGAAAGAAAATGAGACGTAAAATAAAATACACTGTTGATGTCTGAAAGTTGTTTTTTTATACAAAGTATGCATGTTTGTTGGACACAAATAAATGTAAACTACTATTAAAAAAATGCATTTATTTTCATTTCAAATACAAAAGGAAGACTAGTTCATCAGAATAATGTTCAGTTACTGTGCCATGGCCTACATAGGATTTAAATCATGTATTTACAGTTGCCACATGTATCAAATGTATAAATGTGTTTTTTCTTTTGAAAAACCAGGCAGCAACTTTTCTTCTAGATTTAAAATAGAAAAGATATCCACCCTTACATTTACAAATCTCTGAACTGAAAGTGTCTGAAATGTCAATAAAATATTCTATTCTGCAGTTTTCAGTGCAGTAAAACCCCCATTTTAATATTGGTATTAAACAATCAATGTAGATTCCAAAGTTTCAACCTGTTCTTGTATTTGTAACAACCTACATATTATTTATATCACATTTACACGCCTGTCTGTTTTTGTATTTATTACAGTGATCGATGTTTGTCTGTAGAGTAGTTAATAAAAGCTGCATCTCTTTCTGTCCAATTGTACTAAATGTGTTTGAGGTGAAAACATGACTGCTGCTGGAAGCTTTAGTTTTATCAAAAGAAAATGTTATCAAGGCCTTTTGTTATATGATGGCTACGGATTGTTTCACTCACAAAATGAAAATGAGCCATTTGAGGTTTGAAGGAGCTTTATGCTTGCAAAATATCAATAAAGGATATTTTATATATGCACAAAGAGTTGGGAAGTGTTTTGTTTTTCAGTGAATGAGTGTTCATTATTGATGAAATAGTTTAATACTATTTTAAGTAAAGGATATTCTATGGCAATTGTATATGTTTTTAATAGAATAGCTTTTCTTTCCTGGACTATAATTACAAAGAATATGGAAATGTTCACTTACATAATGTTATTTGTTGCTGTAAGCGTGTTTATTGTGGGCAAAGGTACAAACAGCGCAGCTCTCTGAAGGAGCACAAGGAGCTGCAGAACAGAACACATGTGAACCACATGTTCGGAGTCGATTATAAATTAGGAGGCTGAGGAAAATGATTTCTGGAGTTAATGCAAAGTTTTCTCTGAGTTTTAGTGTATCATTTTCGCTTCTTAAGAAATGTGGAGATTTCATTTCACACTCTGGAACCTTCTGAAATAATTAAGTTTAGATGTCATTCAAGATGCCGCTCACTCCTACCTGTCAAGGAAGAGCCAAGAATGACTGGCATCTGAGTACAAAACAGAAAAACACGGAACACACTGAGGGAACATTTACAGTGAGAGGTGAATAAATAAACACTTCTCCCCATGCTGTGCAATTAAACTGTGTGGTTGCAAAGTACAGAATAGATTTAGCAAAAAAGATTCAAATATGAATCTTTTCTTCAGTGTTTTTGTAGTTATAAAGCATTATTTAAAGCTAAAAACATTAATTTATATTGTCTAATTTACCAAGGATGCCAGAGAAAACAGGGCTAACAACAGGGCTAACACAGTGGCATTTGTCTGCACAGAGACCCTCGTGTTAAAATTAAGACATCAAGGGAGTTCTGGTGCCATAAGCAGCACACACACAAAAGAGTGTGTGTGAGTGTGGAGATGCTCAGTGTGCACACACACACACACACACACACACACACCAGCATGTCAACCTGTGCCGTGTCCAGGACCTGAAGAGTCCCGCTGGTCCTCTGAGGAGTGGCAGCAGCAGAGAGCTGGGACAGAGAGGATCAGGCACTGGAGCAGAAGGCAGGGGCCGGGGCTCTGAGGGCCAGGCCTGTCTGGAGAGGCTCAGCCGAGGCCGACAGAGGAGCTCGGCGGCGTTGTGCGGCGACAGCCTCGTCCAGATGGCTGCTGTGTGATTTAGCAGAAACGGGAAGCAGCTGTGGCCAGCGCTGAGCCCCCCCACGCTTGACTGGGACCCAACAGGGGAGGGAGGGCATTTGCATGAGAGGGATAGTCTGGCCAACCAACTCGGGCCCTGCCAAAATCCCAAATCTCACTTCCCCTTTCAGCCAGCTGACTGAAATACTCCTTTAAGAATCAGACTCAACCACTTCCAATTGTGCTGTTAACAGGATCCAACAAGATTTTGATAGTTTTTTCACACTTTACATGACTGAATATTCACTGCAAACTTTGTGAAGTTAGCCGCTGTTTAAATTCAACTGGTGTTTCTCAACATTTGGGGCCGACTGCACAATTAAATGCACAATTAGATATCACATCTGATTGCCCCTTTTGGCTTTTCTTTCACATGACTGGATGTCTATTTGGGAATAGACAATGAGCAAATGGGCCCTTCTGTATACTTGATTATGGGCATCAAGTTCCAGTGGTGGAAAGTAACTAAATACACTCACTACTCAAGGTACTTGTTATATACTTGTTATACTTAAGTATTTTTATTTAATGCTATTTTATAACTACATTTCAGAAAAGGAATATTGTTCTTTTACTCTACTACATTAAATACACTGGATCAAATATTAAACCAGTGGTCCTTAATCTGTCTGGTTTATGACAATTAACAAAAAAAACGAGTCTGTTTCGGGCCCCTTGTCACGTTGTAAGAGTTGTCAGCAGTTCCACCAGAGACATTTCCCCTCTAAACTTCACTCATGGTTTCATTTGTTTTGCTTCTTTCCTATCCCATTAATTATCTTTATTTTATTTATTATTACTAATAAAGCTGTAAGTCATGATAAAAAACAATCAGATTTAATGCTGCCAATGGCTTGAGTAGTTGTCCGAAATATACATATGAAGGCAGTTTGAATGTGTGGAAATGGCGGACCGCCACCAACAATGAAAACTACTATATAATAATTACATAATGTAAATACATTGAAGGATATTGCAACAAAAAAAATGCAGACAATATCAAAAATGGTATTTTTTTTATTTGCTTTTACTTAAAGCTAATTGGTATTTTTTGTTGTGCAATTAATTAATAAATACACAATTACCCTTACATAGTGCCAGAACAGGCATTAAGGATGCAGAGTATGAATGAAAGCGACGCCATTAACTCTATTACAAGTCAGTGTACAATAAAAATGATTTTAAAGGCTGTGATTTTATGGTATAATACCATAAAACTTCAATTACAACTGAACTCAACCTGCCTTTATTTGGAACAGGCTTCTATATGGGACAAGCCTTTTAATGTGAAATACTATCAGATTGTTTATTTAAACCAGTATGAATATAACGTATTTAAGAATTAGGCTATTGAATAACAATTATCAATCAATAATTAGATCATTTGAGACTTTGGTTTCATCTATATCGTGCAGGCCTGGTGGGCTTTAAGAGGTTTAATACATGCCAGAGACCCTTATTTGTTAAAACTGTGTAGCAAGTCAGGCTAATAAAGGAAATCCTTTAATTGGGACCCTGCTTTTAATTAATGGTAGTTGCATAATGTTCATACGGCTCTATTCTCTACAGCACCGGTGTTGTGACTTTTTAAAGCTGGCAGAGGAAAACTATGGAGTGAAACTAAGCTGAATATGATTTATGCACGGAAAACAAACAAAACAGTTTGATAATGCTATCGTGCTGACCTTTATTTCACTAAAATCCAATTTGTATCCCCTTTTATTATTAGTTGCTTCCCCTGTCATTGTTAATATTTGACAACACTTGTGGTGTGTGGGAGAAGTTTGCTTTAAATAAAGGTTCTGACTGCTTCGTCCACCACCGATCTCTGGGAACTTTATTCCAAACATAAAGCAGTTATTAAAAGAAAATCCTCACCATCCCCAGGTTACTTTGTCTCTGTATACATTTCTAGCTCAGATTTGAATGACAAGCCTATAGGCAGTAAAATTATTGTTTGTTTTCAATAAATGTACTGTGTAATGTGTGTTTGTGACCACGTAAGCACAGATGTGACCACTGCTGCACAGCCACAGTCAAATTGAGCTACAAGCTTACACCATATGGCACCGTTTTTCGGTCCATACTCTATAGATCCCGCCAGCACCAGAGGAATTCTGCACATCTGTCCCAGTCCAGCTGTGAGTCTCCGTCCCCGTGTACGGAGACGCCCGAGGGGAGGGTTGTGTGACTTCTTTCACTGCTGGCTAATTCAACAAAGTTTCAATACAGTGGCCAACCACACGCGTCTGAAATATTTATCAGGGACTTGACAAAAAGATGAAAAATGAATGAAAGTCTTTTTTCATGGTCTTCCAGATTTTCAAAGATTGCTTCGTTAAATTTACATGAGAATTTCATTTCATGTGTGCACAATCTATAATTGTCCTCCTCAGTAGCACAGTGCATGTCTGACCAGTCAACTCAAAAAACACCAGTGTTAAGAAACTCACAGCGATCAATTAATCAACCTTCTGCTTGTGTGGAGGAGAGCAAGTGCCCGTCTTATTTATTAATACTAATAGCTGAGAAATTAAATACAGGTATAGAAATATATGGATCATGGTCAGCACAATTTAAATCATAAAAGATGCTTAATTTCTCATAAAAAGGGACACAGACTGCAGCAGTCTTAATCACCAACAGGAAGGGAGTCAAAGCAAAAGCAATGTTTTAAGTTGGATACTTACTGTGTTGCCCAACTTGTGCGGATATGATTAACACATCCAGCCTCGGGAACATTTCAGGACAACGTTACAGAGATGTGCAAATAAAACTCTCAACAAAGTGATCACACTGCCCTCTGTGGAGTAGATGGGGAGGAGGATTAAGTGGGGAAATGCCACAAACCTACAATTGATTTGTTTCAGTTCTGAGAAATAAACAAACATGTAAATCAGGGAAAACTTTAATTTTATTGTGAAAAAATAGCATTTTAGCGATGCAATTAATCAAAAATGTGATTGGGAATAAATGCTAAATCGTCAAAATATTACAAAAGGATGCTAATTGCTATAAAAGGAATTCAGACAGAGGTAATTGCTTTAACTTGAACACAACAGCACGGTCCCTAATGCTTACATCGAACCACAAAACAGTAAAATTAAGATCCAAACAAAACAGTCTACCCATTACAATCTCCTGAAAATATTAATGCAGCACAGCGACTTCTCCACACAGTCATTTACACTCTCACCACAAAGGTTACTGTGAGTAAGAAGAACTAGAACAAGTGTGCGGCTGCTTTTCAGACATTTTCCAAAAAACTATGATAACTCACTGTTCGCTTGTTTCAGCTGATATGTTTATTTTAGTTCCAGGTCTGCCTGTGAGTAAGGACGAATGTTAATGGGCCACGAAACACCAGGCTGGTTGTAGAGAGGTTGGACACACAAGAGGTGGACAAAATAACCGAAACCGGCTCAGTATCTAACACACATCTCTGCTTTTAGAAAACAAATCCTTGTGAAGCTTTTTGGTGAGGCTTTCACAGAGTTGTTGATCTGAAACTGCAAGGTCATGTTTTTAGGCAATAGTGTAAAGTACTGCTGCTATTCTGTCCACCCACTCCCAATATTCAGCCTCTCCAGGATTGTTGCAGCCTAAAATGCCTGATTTCACACAGATTTTTAGGCATTTTTTGCAATTAATTAGTGTGAGAAAGTGAAATTTGCCCAAAGAATGTTGCAAATGTTGTATAATTCATTTAAAAACGGCAACTTGTTACAGTGAGAATAAATTCACACTGTTTGGACAGGGTAAATGTGAGACGTTTGCATTTGGTGACAAGGTTTTTACGCAGAAAATAAGACAATTAAATCATGTTGCAGAAAAGTTTGGACAAAATTTGGATCGTGGTAGTGGAGAATTCATCAAGATTGATTGAATTTGTGTTAATTGTTGTGCTCACATTGCAACTTTCTGAATGTTTAACATCTATATTTCTGAAACGTTTATCTCAACTCAGTTCAACATCACACCCGTAGCTTTATCGAGGTAGAGGATAATGGGGATGATGACTTTAACGTCCACATCCAAAAGTCTTATTCCACTCTTCATACAGCTCCAAGTCTTTTGATGACACACTGGGTCGGACCGTCTTCAGGGCCTCCTGGAAGTCACAGTGGAGGATTGGTCGCACCTGATCCGCAGTGATTGTGGCGATGTCACTGAGCTGGATGCTGCGGATGGGCCCCAGAGCCGCCTCTCTACACAGCTGAGTCATATCGGCCCCTGAGAAGCCCTCGGTGGCAGTGACCACGCTGTCCAGCTCTTGCTCTCTCAGCTGGTTCTTCTCTTGAGCCATGAGGTTAGTCACTATCTGCCACCGGGCGGTTGCTTCAGGGAGAGGAATGTACAACCTCTTTGCCAGGCGTCGGCGGGCAGCCTCGTCGATCTCTTGGGGCCGGTTTGTGGCCCCAACCACCAGGATGCGGTCCTCAGCTGCTGTGGCTGCCCCATCCAGCTGAACCAAGAACTCCGTCTTTATCCTTCGCGATGAGTCGTGCTCCCCGTCCGTCCGCTGGGACAACAGCGAGTCGATCTCGTCGATGAAAATGACAGCAGGCTGGTGGCAGCGGGCGATGGCAAACAGGGCTCGCACCATTTTTTCTCCTTCGCCCACCCACTTGGATGTGAGCGACGAGGCGCTGATGCTGAAGAAGGTGGCACCTGACTGGCAAGCTATGCATTTTCCTATTAGAGTTTTTCCGGTTCCTGGGGGTCCAAACAGGAGGATGCCTTTGGGTGGACCACGGAGGCCAGTAAAGATGTCAGGTCGGAGCATGGGCCAAACCACGATCTCCTTTATAGTGGTCTTGGCAAACTCCAGGCCTGCTATGTCCTCCCAGGTCACAGGAGGCCCGTGGTCCATGATCTCACTCATGATCAGCTCGATGATCTTCGGCTCGATGTTTTTCAGACGCTCGTCCACGATCTGAGCTTCCTCACCGGGATTACGGCTCGTCCCACCGTCTTCCTCCTCCTGTCGTGGAATAGGCGACACAAATTTAGAAAATGTACCTCGAGGTCTGTTAGCACCCAGAGATTTCTTCACAGTCGCTGCCATCCCAGCGGCCGGACCTCTCTGGGGCTGATGGGAGTGCTTTTTCTGTTGATCAACGATGAACTGATCGCGAGCGGTTTTGAAGCTGCTTCCAGCTCGCGGGTCAGCGCCTGCTTGACCTCCGTGTTGCCCCCTGCCACCGTCACCTCCATCTGGGTTGTAAAAATTCTTCCGCTTAGATGGATTGGAGGTGGAGAAGGACTGATAGTTCTGTGCGCCGCCTGCAGGGCCAGAGTTTCCCTGTGGAAGAACCGAAGAAGGATGACCGAACACAGACTGTGGTCGGGCTGGAGGTCGGGGGAATGAGCTCAGATTACCTGAGATCACCTCATAGCCTCTTGGCCTCTCTGACGTAATACTAGAAGCGGGATTCCTGGCAGTGTTGTGAACCTCTGTTTTAGGCTGTGGTGGTCCTATAGGTTTGAACAATGCAGCCTCTGACCGGACTCCGGTGGAGGGAGCAGACAGGGAGCTGCCTCTGCTCTCTTGCCCCACACATATGTTAACATCTCCCGGTGCCACCAGGGAGCCTCCTCCCCCTGCCCCTGCCCGAATCATCTTCTGCACGCAGGGCAGCTCCAGCACACTCTCCACCGTCAGGGACGACTCCCATTTGTCACTGTAGTTCCTCTGACTGCGGGCCAGATGCAGCGCACTCTCTGCATAGTTGTTCAGCCCTGCGCGGGGGTCATCCGAGTCCAGCACTGCGGCATAGCGCTCCGAGTAGGTCCTGAGCAGGCTGGCCACGCCGGCCTGAGAGAGCCGGGAGCTTGCCCATGCATACTGAATGGAGAGGATGTGGGCCCGGTAGGCATCGGCCGTCTGTTCAGGTGTGCAGTTGCCAGATGAAATGTCAAAGGACCTCCTCTGCCATTCGTCCAGGTGTGCGCCACTCATGCCTGGCCTGCTCCAGTCTGATGAAGGAGAGGGGACGAAAGTTATTAAAAATACATGATCTCAGTAAAAGCCAAAGGCGCATCGCCCCCTGACCCATACACACGTAAGAAGTAACATTTCATTACACTGTGTGAGATGTATTGGCACAGGACACAGGGGTTCATTGATTCAGTATTGCACTTTTTTATAAAGTTCAGGGACTGAAAAGAACTGATTAAAAAAAAGCACGGTTAAATTTGAAGCAGCAGAGGCAGAAATATTCTGACATTTATTCAATAGTACGGGTCAAGCTCCAAAAATGCTGGATCACACTCATTAACATTCCCAACTCAATAGCATCTCTTCGTTAAGACCCTCCCTGCCTCGTTAATGCCCACGTCTTTGAAACACCTCGATTTTTTGATCTGTTAGTCTCCTGATGTGACCTGTGAATGTAAAGGGCCTGCAGTTAGTCTGGTACAGAAACATTTGTATTTTATTTAGTGAAAATTATAATTCGTTTTTTACCACATCATGCAGCCCTAATAATATTACAGTTATGTTGAAATACAACAATTTAATCTCATCCGTGCATTATTTTTTAATTGCGGAGGAAATTATCTTGGAAATATTCACATTACTTTGATTCTAACAAACAAAATGAATCATAACAGGTCTGAATTTAGTGAAGAAGGAACAAAATCACCAAGTTTGAGTAGCTGAAAAGTACTATAACTACTAGTGTAGCTAAAATATTACTTTTACGATGATTTTCAAAGAATCTATAACCAAGTTAGACTTTCAATTATTGGTAATTGTAAAGTCTTCTAGGGCTGTGTGCATGTATGCAACACAATAAAGGGGCTACAATCTAATATATTGCAATACTATAAGCAATTTAATTTGAAGGAAAACCCTGGGTGCTAATAGTTATAAATAAGACCATCCCATAATGTATAAAAACTGATAAAGAGCCCGTTAACAAAACACTGTATTGTGGGTGTTTTGGGGGGGGGGTTTTTTGAAACACAAAAATAAATCAGGTTTTTTAGGAATGATGCACAAAAAAAACAACAAAAACAAAAAGCAAATGATATATTTTGATATTTTCTTACACCTGTATAGCCTATACATACATTTACAACATATATCCATGCATAATATCTGCATCTATGCATGCAGACATATAGATAAACTAAACCTACAGGATTTCTGGATGGTTTCTACTGGAAAACCTCACAATTAATGACAGGTAATGACTAATAATACTATTTTTTTTTAGAGTAACTGGCCCAGCACTGCTTGTAAATGAATATATGTGGGGAAGTAAGTTCCTTTACCTTTAGTTTATGATGCATGGCACTGACAGAGAACATAGTTTCTCCTGTATTACCTGCAGTTTTAACAATAAACAACCTATAAACAAACACCACGTGTTCACAGCGGATGAAGACACTTACTAGTACTTATATCTTCTTACGACAGATAACAAACAACGGACAACAAGTGGTACAAAGTTATTTTTGATGAAGAGCTGCTTCTCGTGTTTTTAATTCCCGCCACCTGTTTTCTCGTTTTAAGCGTTCGACTTCCGGCTCGTTCCAATTCGTTTGCTGAAAAAAAAAGCTCAATTTGTCTCTAATCGCCGGTTTTCACCACTTGTAGAAACTCATTCACAAAATCACCACATTTGGTTTGTGTAAGCCGCTAAAATGTCGATTTAAAATGCAAACAAACGAACAATAAACGGCGTACATGACGCGAAAAAAGTTACGTGAAGCTAATCGGAACGGGACCCACAACTTATGGGAGTGTTCCATTTATGACCCCGGTTCGCCCGGACACCCGTCACTATCCGTTAATGTGGTATTATTGGCGCTCTGTGAAGCTCCACGTAAAGCTACGTGATTAACGATGATTGATTAGTCGGTTTTATCCAGTTTGAGAACACTTTACTTGAGTTTAAAACCGTGTTTTGTCTCCCGGACTACAGTTTCAACACCGTGTCCCTTTTGTATTGAGGTCTACGACGCCCTCTTGTGGTGAGAGGACGTTAAACAAATTCGATTAAACGGTCGCGTTGTCGCGTTGAATTCTGGGAAATGTAGTAGCGGCGTTGTTGAAACTCAGCCGGGCACTGAATTTCGACATAAATTACATTCAAAGAAACACCACTTGCGTGTGGATTACACTCCGAGTTATGTTTATTAACTTTTATTGGGTATAAGAAACAGTTAAATATCAACTACGTGTTGTGTCAGCGCACGCGTAAACTACACTAACCACAACCGTTGAGCTTTTTGTTTATGCCGTCGACAGTGGATGACAGCGGCTGCAGAGAGAGCAAACGCCGCCGGTGGGAAAACAAGCTGCGTTTGGGACATTGTGTCGCCAACTGAGCTATCTAGTTAGTTAATATCGCGCACTATTTATTAATAAACATCTCCGGAAAGTTTCCCCGGACAGCTGTGAACAGTCAGCCCGTTATCTGTAGGTAAACCGGACACGGGATGTAAATTAATCCAGACGGGACCAGCCCCGGGAGCAGCAGTCAGTCAGTCACACCCTTGTCTGGGGCGGGTGGTGGGTTTGCTACAGAAGCTCTGCCGTGCAACACTAAAAATCTGCTATCCTACACATGTTGTGATGTTTTTTGTATCCCTAAATGTTACCCGAGACCTGTGAGTCGGAGCTGTAGAAGAGTATTTAACTGGATATGACTGACTCATCGTTATTATGGCACGGACGGAGGAGATAACCCTGAACGGTGTGACTGCTGCAGTGCCGACCAGATAGCCTCATAACAAGCTACACTGCATCTACACATCCAGTCTTTTTCTATTAAACATATATATTATATATTATATATATATAGGCAGCGTGGCATTATGAATTCCCCGATGTACACCTTTGTCACCCGTGACGACAATAGCACTGTTTATGCAGAAGTTTCCAAAATCCTCCTCTCGACTGGACAATGGAAGAGGCTGAAAAGAGACAATCCCAGATTCAACTTAATGCTTGGTGAACGGAACAGACTGCCATTTGGACGTCTAGGTAAAGGGTATTCTCCTTATTCCATATAGTATAAGCTGTGTATGAATGTGTGTACTAGGCTGGTGGTGATAATGTGTTATACTGTGTGTGTGTGTCTGGGCTATAGTTGTGGTGGCACACCCACTCAGCGATGAGAACAGCTGCTGTGACTGGCTTGGCACGGCTGTTTGCTTCCAAGCATCCCTGGTGGTGTTTGGATGTAGCAGCGGGTTGCACAGCGTTCAATCACACACGTTCATCACACGTTCATTCATTCATCGTAGGTATGTGTTAGGTATGTTTTCATGGCGTGTAAGCACTTGAATATGGGGGATTTTTGTTGTGTTTTCCAGACGTTTTCATCCACAGATGCAGCAGGTCGGTTTCCGTTGGAGCCTGCAACGTTTCTACGGTAGCCCAGAACGGACAAACGAGAACACCGGTTTTAAACAGAGCCTGTCACGCTGGCTTTTTGCGAGTTTCGCCGTCACTTCACAGTCAAATTCTGACGCGAGCGGTGTCCAGTTAGTTGCAGTCGGCGTCTTCGAACTAGACGCCACTGAATGCTCCACACTGGTCTTTTAATGCATCCTCAAACTTCCACTCTGCAGGTCACGAACCGGGACTGGTGCAGCTGGTGAATTACTACAGAGGAGCAGACAAGCTTTGCAGGAAGGCGTCGTTGGTCAAGTACGTCAAAAGAAGAATCTTTACCTTTTTGTCTTGCCGTCATTGATTAATTATTCAAGTGTGTGTTACATTATCTGACCCTTTCCCCCCTTCCTTTACCATCAGGCTCATAAAGACCAGCCCAGAGCTGTCCGACTCCAGCAACTGGTTCCCAGAATCCTACATCATCTATCCCACTAACCTCAACACCCCCGTTGCTCCAGCTACAAATGGCATTAGCCATCTGAAGAGCAACCCCAAGACGGATGAGAGGGAAGTTTTTTTGGCCTCCTATCACTCCAAAAAAGAAAATGGGGAGGGTACAGTGTGGATAGCCAAGTCTTCTGCTGGAGCGAAAGGTAAAATCTGTAGTTTCACTAGTTTAAATCCCAGATACGAGTTAGTTTTAGGCAGACATTTTCACTCCAGTGTCTTCTTAAGTTACATTAACTTGTATCAAAGAGATTACATACTCTCTCTGAACTATTTTCGATCTGCTAAAGGTGTGCTAGAAGGCATTACACATTAACATATTTGTTTTTATTGCAACAGGTGCTGGTATTTTGATATCCCATGATGCTAATCAGCTGCTGGAGTACATCGATAATCAGGGACAGGTTCATGTTATTCAGAAGTACCTGGAGAAACCTCTGCTTTTGGAGCCGGGACATCGCAAGTTTGACATAAGGCAGGTCTTTTATGTGTAACACGAGCTACTACTCTGTCTGGACTTTGTAGCTGAGGCTCTCATGTGTTATGTTATGCTGTTTGTAGGAGCTGGGTGCTAGTGGACCATCAGTACAACATTTACTTATACCGGGAGGGCGTGCTGCGGACGTCCTCGGAGCCCTACAACAGCTCTGACCTCCAGGACATGACCAGCCACCTGACCAACCACTGCATCCAGAAGGAGCACTCGCAGAACTACGGACGATATGAGGAGGGGAACGAGATGTTCTTCGACGAGTTCAGGCTGTACCTGCTGAACACTCACAATGTCACCCTGGAGACCGCCGTATTACCTCAGATAAAGCAGATCATAAAGTGGGTCCTAATGGTTTTTTTTAATTTTGGATCTCATCTACAAAGCACTTATTTATTTTATTTCACACTGCGGTTCTGCGAAGTCTACTACTGAGAAACGCTGAGTGACAAACGAGAGATGAGAGGAGATACCTTCGTTGTAGTTTGAGGACATTCAGCTTGTAAATAAGTGAGATCTTTGCTGCTCCATTACATCAAATCATATTATCTTTGTGGAACTTGATAGGGTTGTTGACTAAAAACAAAAACACAGTGTCAATAGTGACTATTCATGTCCGACATAATGACTTTCATCCACTAAAGCTTAAACGTTTTATTATCAAGCAGCAACCTGGATATTTAGAGATTAGTTTTCCAGTCATCAAAATACCTGGAAATGAATTAAAATGACCAAATATCCTGGAAATTTTTAAATTGTATTTCCGCCCTTCGCTCACAGATCTACGGCTCAGCTGTGGGCGAAAAAATAATTAGTTTGAAACCCGACAACTCGAAGTGGAAATAGACTCGGTGTTGAGTCCGCGAGCAGAATTCTCACGAAAGCTCGGTGGAAAAAACAAATAGTGTTGTTGTTGCAGTTGATAAATATATGAACAGCAAAGTTAACTGCACATTTAATAAACACGTTTACTTCTTCTTTCAACTAATAGGTTAGAAGATGATTTTGTAAAATAATAATAAGACCATTTAGGGCCTTTTATGTGACAAACGGTATCTATAAATCTATTCTGTACTTCATGGGAAGCCGATGAAGGGATGAGAGGAATTGTTTGATGTGGGACCTACTGTTGGGTTTTGGTTAGGAGCCTGACTGCAGTGTTTTGCCGGACAGGACTGCTTGGGCTTGCATTAGTAGTTCTGGATCTCTGGTTGATTGAGAAGTGCAATTGAACTGGCCAAGCAGCTTGTGTAGAGGTAACATGTATAATGAGAAAAGGATGGGACGGAGGAAATGGAAATGATTTTTCTGTCTGGTTTTCACAGGAGCTGTCTGACATGTATCGAGCCGACAATCAGCACCAAGCACCTGTCCTACCAGAGCTTCCAGCTCTTTGGATTTGATTTCATGGTGGACGAGAGCTTCAAAGTGTGGCTCATTGAGATCAATGGAGCTCCAGCCTGTGCACAGTCAGTAACATTCAGATGATCGTGCATGTTAAAATGTTTGATTTTCAACACCTCTTTCAGTTTTACTTGTGTTTTTTTGTGTGTCTTTGTCTCCTATTCACGTCTATTCCTCCCGTCTACATTTAGACAGATTTTTTCCAATATGGGGAAAAGCTGCAATCCACTTCCCTAATTATCTAAAAGTGTCTTGTTTATATGTTGTTTTTCTTCCTCAGAGTCAGAAATAAGAACGCTTTGAAAACATTAAAATTGTTTTAAAGCTTAGCATTTGAATTTTGTTTCTTGTGACTTTTATTTTTAGCGCTCCTGAGGAAGTCGTTCTATGCAGAAGTGTCATGTGAATTAGTTTCTTAAGTTAGATATTAACTCAGTCACAGCTAGCTTGTGGGATATTATATATATCTTTATGATATATATTTCTCTTACGCTTTATTTTAAACTCATGAAGTCAGCAAGTGTGAAGACGAGTTGACACTTCTATTATCTCTACCCCACCAGGAAACTATATTCAGAGCTTTGTCAAGGCATCGTGGATGTGGCTATTTCCAGTGTCTTCTCCATGAACACCGGCGGTGACTCTTCCTCTGCTTCCTCTTCTCCTTATTCCTCCTCCCCGTCCTCCACGTTCTCTACCAACTCCTGCTCCTCTCCCAAACTGAGAGGGCCTCTTCATGTGGGCCCTTTCACTCGACTGTAAGCACACACAAAAATTCCCCTCGTCTCCTCCGTACTAGAAGCTTCTTCCATGCTCTGTCCTCACTCCTAAACTCCACAGTACCCGATAAGTAGCACACTCCAGCGAGCAGAGCCTTCACTCGTCCCTCGTCTGTCACGCCCGGATGCGAGTCTGTCTTTTTATGGAAATCACTGAACTGCAGAATTGATCTCTGCTCTCCTGATTATGCATATTATGAACGGGAAGATGGTTATGAACAGATCAGCAAGCTTTCTGGGAGTTTCTGAATGAGGACAGACACCCTTCCATATCAGTTCCACCACCAGTTTCTCCCCCAAGCAGATTAATGGAGGTCTGAAGGATGCAGAGACGCTCCAACTGAGACTGTAGTGCCTTACATTTCCAGCCATGCTCCCTTAAAAAGACTGCCAGTTAGCTTGCTCTGTTACTGTGACTTGTACTTGTTCAATAAGCCTTTGCACTGTTGCTCTATAAAGTCAATGCGGTTACGATCAGTCCACAAGAATTAGCGTAAAACAGATTTGTTGATATTTGAGATATTATGAATTTGTGTAACTTGTCTCATCAGACACAATTTTAATTTTTTGAATTGCAGCTTTCTGTACCTATTAATTTCAGTGAGGAATGCTAACAGTGATCAAGAAGCTACGCAGATGGATGTGTTTAAACGTACTTACACACTAACCCAATGTGTCTGATGAGCTAAACATTCAATATATCAAGGTTTGCCTTGAAAACCAACATTCCTCTTAGCTTGACCGTGTGGACACAACGTATTATTTACATTCAGGGCAGCTGGATTGCATAAGTGAACAGGGGAGACTGTGCTTCATCTGGCAGGTTTGAGTCTGTCCCAACAAGTTCTGCTAAAGTGACCTCTGACATCTGTAGGGCAGAGAGTAAATAGAAAAAGATATATGTTTCTGTTCTCAACAGATTCTTTTACAAAATAGTCCAGCTGAAGATGTTTTATTTGTCATTTGAAGAGCGCATGTTTGTGTGAAAGCATGTAGTAGTGTGCATCCTCATACAAGCCCCCATAGCACCTTCTGCCCCCAGAGCTGCCCTAATGTCTGTTTTATTTCTGATGGATGAAAAGCTAGACTGTCTTGTGAAGTGTTGTCAGCAAGTGTGTGGATTATGTCTTTTGAACTGTTGAAATGAAAGTAGAGTAGATTGTACAAAGTGTTTTATTATCTCCGTCAGGTTTGGTTGCGTGTGTGTATCCGTCCGCAGCTACACTCTTATGCTACTGGATCCATCGCACTAATATTTTCTCTGGACATTTATGACTGTAGGTTCAAGGATTCAAAATGTTATTGACTGCTGCTGGCTACTCTCAATCGGCCGGTTGGGGCAATTGATTGACAACTGCTTCAGTTTGGAGCCTTGTTTTTGTTAGGGACATCAAACGTGGTTCAGTCAGTGTTGGCAGATTCTTTTGTTGGCATTTTCATTTTGAAGTTTACATTTTCCATCGCTGGTTTCCTTCCATCCGGAGAGGTACCGGATGTAAACCAGTCGCCATTTACTGCGGTGGCGTCTCCCTACAATATGCACGCGTTTGAATGCAAGCTGCCCTAAGAAGTGTACAATTTTCTACTTTTCCCTTTAATGTTACTTTTCTAAAATGTGTCTAGGAAATCATGAAGAACCTGTGCCGTTACCAGCTGCTCCAACAGTAGTGGCAAACTGAACAGAAAAAAGACTGAATGTGAAACACACAAGCCTTTATTTCACAAAGAGTGGCCCTGTCTGAGACTGTACACAGATTCTCTGGGCCGGTAGAGGACCAACATGTTCACATGGTGAGCGATTAATTAAATAATGTAGAATACATTTTACTGTGATGATTAAATGTAGCTCTTAATTGATTATGCTTGCTAGCTAGTACAGTAGTATTACACAGTACATCACCTGAAATGGACAAGTGGTCAATTGTTTTTCTCTATATCTAGCTACTATCGTAACAAACATGTAAATGTGAATAACACTAAGTTTGCCATCCATATAAGACACCTTCATCAGTAACTGGGGGGCCACTGCCTAACGTCGTCAATCTACGACATGCCACCGCAGTAATGGCGACACCACTAGATGGCGAAACACAAACCGAAGTCGTTTTGTGTGTTTAGTTTGTCAACTCTAGTTACACCTCGATAATGTAACTAAGTCCACTACTCTCATGCACACACACTGGACACGCAGCCTGCCCTGCACACCCTGTCCCACACCCACGTGGCCCTAAACACACCTGGCGGAGACCTGCTCTCTAGCGAGTGCACTCTTCTTGTAGTTTATTTAAATGATTTAAAGACCCCATGAAATTAAACCGAGTGGACACAATAAAATAACTGGAGAGCTGATGGAGAAACATGCAACCCTACTTCATACTTCTTACACTGGTCTCGTAAAACATGCTGTGTCTGGTGTGTTATTCACCAAAGAAAAGTCAGTGGACAGCGGCTGCAAGTCTTCATCTTGTCGCTGCTTCTTGCCGAGTTACAGCTGGTTTTTGGTCATGTCACTGCCGCTTTCTACATAGTTTTTTTTAAATCAGAGTTGTATTTCATTAAATACAGATTTGTTTTGTTTCATGGGGTCCTTAAAGTATTTAATTTCTACTCATTTGACTGAATCTCTTTGTGAATAGATGAGACGTTAGAGCTGTAACTGTCCAAGGTGACTTGTGTCAGATCTGTTTTTACGTTACTGTTTGAACTACTTGTTAGAAATGACTCTTTAGTTTTCACGTAGACATGAAACTTTAAATTAGTGAAAGATCTGTGACGGCTGTACATTGGATAGTTGATTCAACTGTTGTGTTTCCAGGGGCACATTTTAACCACATCATAACTAGTTCATAACGGTATAATCGCCTCTTTTAACCTCGGTTCAAATATGTGAGGCTCTGCTTCCCATGTTGTGAGTAACATAAGCGAAGGGACACCATAAGAGCATTTATTTATGTTTTTAATCACTGTGTATTTGTGTTTACAAGATGACTCTGGGGAATGAAGGATATGTAAGTGGCTGAAAGTCAGAAAGATGGAATAGTTACACAGCGGGTTATACTGACAAATCTAGCCTTTGTTCTTTTAAAGAAACGGGGCTGTTATAAAGATTAATCCCAGTAACTCAGATCATGATGAATCCATCTCTGTGATGTATTACAGAGCCCTGCTGTAGTGGAAAATTATGTTTTTGGGAAGTTTTGGAAAAGATACTGATGTTAGCAGAAAATGGGTATTTATAACACGATTGTGTTGGAAAATGAGTTACATGTGTTGTACAAAAACAAACTATCAGTATTTGTTTTTGGTTAATTTGTAGGGAAATGTCTTTCCATCAAAGGGAAGGGTGCCTTAGAGGGAATTGCATATTGATAACAAGAGGCAATGGACCTCCAGCATTTAAATGCACCTTCATGTTGTTTGTCTGTATTGAAGTGAGTTTGCCTCATTCATCTTTAGACTTCTTTTAAATTAAATGATGTCATTTCCTCTTATTCAGAGTTTTTTTTGCACATCTGACTCAGTCTACCGTGTTCTTATGTGTTTCATATTTGTCCTGGATTTCCTCATGTTTACCAAAGATCAAAATTCATGCTGTATTTTCAGTGTCTAATAATATTTTGTAGTTGTTATAATCTGGTTATTATCACATCAACTGGCCAACGTGATCCAAAAGCAAGTATCATATTCAGAGGGATGTCTGTGCTGTGTTTTTGTTAGGTGATGTTTTATCCAAAATCTTGCATGAACATTTGTCTTTATCAGAAACAATATTACTAGAATAAAAACAAATATTAATATTACCAAGCTTCTGTCATGTGTGCATTTCTGCTCTCTGTGGTCCATTTGATTTCCTCCTGGTTCCAGCCTTTATGCTTTGTTCTGCTAAACACATCCCAGACCAACTGTACCGGACACAGAGATGAAGATCTTCTAATATGATGTAAACAAATGTACTGTTTCTCTTATATATATATATAATTGTCAGTATGAAGCAACACTAAACAAGACAAGAGAAGTCTTGTGTTTCTGGACCATGAATGCAGCTTGTGGGTAAGATACACACGGCCTCGTGCAGCAACATGCTCTTACATTTCTCTTCTAATTTCTTTTATATCACGGTCTGGGTGAATACTCGATTGTGATTGGCTGCAGGGTGTCCATTAATCCCTGATGTAGGACACCTACTAACTGGTTCCAGTAAAACTGTCTGTTCCCTATTACAGCCCTGTAATAAATGTTCAGCTTTTGTTAGCAATGTTTTAGTTGTTTGTTGACTTTAATTATGTGTTTTGGGGAATTTCTTTGAGTTTCTGGGGATCATTTTCAGTGGTTAAGGTAAAGTATTTATACAGCAAATTTCCCTTGCATTAAACACACAGCAGCAACACAATAAACTCAATCTAAGAGACACATTAGGTGTATATATGCACTACACATGGAAACATCAGTGTGTGTACCAATATGGATGTTGGTACACATGCAAAAAAAAAAAAAACACACATAATCATATTCTGTTTTTAATTAGTTTTTCCTCATTCAATCCCCAGTTCTGATTATTCTCTCTGGCATGTTTTCTGCTGCTGCGCCCTCAGGTGGTGGAGGAATGCTACGACATCCTGAGTACAGATTTTCCTAATAGGTGATTTAATTGTCAAAGGGCCGTCCTGATTGAAGGGTTATTAACACGAGAATAAATATATGCAAACTTTGCTCCACTTCTCTCAGATGAATACAATTTATTTAACTCAGTGTTTTTTTATATTGTATAAAGCATGTGCAGTCATGGTCAGATTAACCTTTTGGGGGGCCCCGAGAGCAAACGTTTACTGCAGGGCCCCAATTGATCATCTGCACCTCCTGACCTCTGCATGTTTGCGTACCTGCTGCCTCCAGGGTCCCATCGAGCACAGAGCAGACTTCACATGTACTGTACTCCTGGATGAACACGTCTGGCTCCAGATTTCAGTTTGATTAAACACAACTTTATTTAGTAATATGCACCAAAGAGGCCAATCTAAACTAAGATAATACAGATAATAAAACTATTCTGACACAGGGGCCCTCTAAAAAACAATGAGGGCCACAACATTAGGTGTTAATGCAGGGCCCACTGGAGCTATTTACTGATTTCCAAACGCTTTAAATCTCCCATTAGCATTAGCAACAGTGTTACTATGATCGACTTATTTTGTTTATAATGAAAGAATAAAGATGAATATCTCACTCCTACAATAATTTGAGTGCCAAGCTCACAGGTTTGATGGATGACATGTATTTGCTAATTCTTTATGCAAACAAATATGAGCATTTTTTGGAAGTCACAGCTGATTAAGATTACATTATATTGTTAAACCCCCAGTGAATGTGTATCATTTTGACTGTATCTGAACTGTAGTTTCCTTCTGTAAAATGATAAAAAAAAGTATATGTTTTGTTGATCTGTCATTTTTTCATTAGTATGATATAAGTAATATAGCTTACTTTGCTTTATTTATTAAATACTGTTTGCTCAGTAAAATATAAATCTGTCACAACTCTTAGTTTGTTTTCATCTGGTTTTGTTTTCGTGCCATTTAGATTTGATTGATTTATTTGCACAATAAAACACATTAGCAGAATCACAAATAAGAGAAAATAAGCTAATTGTGCAGTTGAAATAAAAAAATAAAAACTAGAGGCTTATAAAAGATAATCACACCTCCATACACATTATAAGCAGATACAAAAATCATGTTATCCACTCCAATTAATCCCTGACAGATTGTTTTGTGCTTTGCAAACAGAATGTTTGCCCATTTTGTTTGCCTGTGTGACTGAACTCCGGGGTTTGAACTTGCATATTAGTGTGTCTTTTTTCCAAAGAAAAAACCTCCTATTACGGTGAAAAACACATCAATTATGTTATGAGTCAAATAAGATAAGATACTCCTGTACTGGTCAGCCATAGAGGAAAATATAAATTTGGCACAGCAGCACAGGGGACATGTAGTGCAAGAGTAGAGAAAGTAAATAAAATACAATAAAATATAATAAAATAAAAATACAAAAGGTATATATAAAATACACCATGTACAATAAAGTGGAATATGGTCCAGATGGCTAACTGTACGGATCAAATTCACCTGCACTTGTTATTTACACTCACAAACAAGCAAATAAGCAGTTCAAAGTACAATTTAATTATGGCTTTTTAGAACACTGATAAAGAAGAAATAGAAGATAGTTTGATAAACATTTATATTGTCTACTGTGGCATTTTGACAATGATTATACTAACATCATGCAGGAAAACTAGGCAATGAACAGGACTTTTGGTTAATACAAAAACATAAATGAATAATAAATTAGGAAATAATAATAATTTAAATCTTGTTGCAAGACACTATGGAAACCCATTGCCACCAGTGTGACGGGAAAAAGGGGATTCTGTAAGTCATTATAATGAGAAACTTTCTAAATAATTTGGCTCAGTCATTATTTTTAGATACTAATTCATTATCAGAATAATTTTTTCCCCCGTCACATTTGCTTTCTATACTTTGCTGTGTCTAAAGGATGTGGGAATGAGATTGCTATCGCTGATTGGTGGCAGAGGTTGCTGGTGGAGGTTTGGGATTGTGTTGTCATGAACCAGCTGAAAGTCCAGACAGAACAAGGGAGACCACATAGATACGTTTTAAAGTAACACAAATACATACCAAAATACAACGAAAGATGTAAATCAGTGCTATAAGTAGTGACTGATACATGAAATACAACCAGGTATGGCTGATCAGCTATCAGTCTTTTGGATGCGCCTTCCCATCTGGGGCTCAGGCACACTTGACACTGGCTGGCTGGCTGACACTGGCTGGCTGCCTCATGGGCCTTATGGTCGGGAGCCTTTTCTCAGGGCTACATGTTCATCCCAGTCCCCTCCTTTGGTGAGCGAGTGCTTCTGTGTGACTCACCAGTTGATGACAAGGGCCATTTGGGCTACATACTTTGGTCAGCTTAGCGACCTGAGAGGCCACTTTGCTCTATGTGGGTCAATCTTTCCTTTGGCAGACTAACGTGAGCAGCCCTGTTGCGTCTCAGACGTAGTGATTGAGTCTTGCAGGGCCTTTATCTGATTGGTATGTTCACATGTGTAAATAGTTTGTTTGGGGCTCAACATCTGGTTATGTTGTGACCCTGGTTATCTGAGTGAGGAGATTATCTATATGGAATTCACAATGAGAGAGAAAACAGTGACAATGATGTAATTGGATGATCTATTCAGGGTTGTCCAGTGAATGTATTTGAAGATGTAAGACATCGACCTGCTGCACAAACTAGGACCATGTACATACAGTAAAATATACAGTACAACACAACACTATTTTGCAACTAAAGAAATTGAAAACTGGGCTGAATCAGCTC